TTGCCTTAAAACAGCCCCACTGAGCTATGGGCTTGCTAGTAGCATGGTTGGAATCATGAATTCAACAAATTAGCACTACAATTGTATGGCTTGCTTGAGTTCAAAAGCTTGGAGCAGTGGCAAAGAAAAGAACGGCAACGAAAATACTAAAACCACGATAAAATGTGTTCAGTTCGTTACCATGGAGAGGAAAACCCGAGAAAAAAACCTAAACTCTTAAGCCCTCAATTATAAGGGTTCTATTTCAGTAGAAATTAGATCATTTATAGCAATCATACCGGCAAATATCCTGCCCAGGTTGATCAAGCATTCCATCACTCAAAGTTCGGTAAATTGAAACCATACCGGTTTGGGAGGATAAGAGCATCGACTTGTGAACTAGGTAACCGCTGCAACCCTTCGTATAGGTCATATACGCATTCAAACGCCGTCATATTCTGAAAGGAAGTTAAATGCCTAAGCGCATTCCAATGAAAGGATTGTTCAACGTCGAATGTCTTTCAAAGTTCATTAAAACTACGCCATAAACATCCGGCAACTACTAAAATCACTTGAAAAAATTCGATGAATGGGTGGTCATGTAGCGGTGGGTGGAGGTTGAATGGCGGACAACACGACCGTCAGAGACACCACTTGCTTTGTCACTTTATAACTGTGCGTTGACCCGATTTGTAAGGTGCAATCAACCACCCTCCACCTCACTCTCTCGTCGCTTGTTCACGATGGAAGGGTAGAAGTGCAAGTATGCAACACCCGGAAACGAAGTGACGGTTGGCGAAGTTGATGGAGTGGTGGTCGAAATACTTCAGTAAAAGTCCCCAATTTTACTCAAAACCAGTCCACACAATGAACTTCCGCAGCCTCAGTGCTTCATTTCTTAATGACAATAAAAAATTAATAAAATACAGTAGCATGTCCAAGGATGCCCAAGGGGACCACTCTTGAGCGGCCTTGTCTGTTCGAAATCATGTACCTAAATGAAGCAATTTCCTCATTCATTCTTCTCTTGGGATTAGTGCGGGATTAGTGCATTTTTAAGAAAACCTTCACTCCTGATCTTTGTCCCTGACCTTAAATCTGTAGCCAACCTCAGGAGAAGATCGAGACAGTTTTTTGGCTCGCTAAAGGGGGGCGTGGGGGGGGGAGCTTTTATTCCAATTATTTTATCACTTGGGCGGACAGTGGCAAGAGGCGCACTACCTCGTACTCATCCTCAAGGGTTCGAATCTCTTATCGATATTCGCCTAGGCCATCCTAGCCTTTCATCCCTCTACTATCGGTTAATCGGTACTAAACTCGAAAGATTAGAAGCATTGACCTGTACATCGACTGCCCACCGTAAGCCATTGTATAGGCCATAAGCTTATTAACCACGAAATTACGATTCTGAAACAAAGTGAGAGATGTTAGGCATTCTGGAATGGGACTAATCACTGCCAATAGACCATTTCATTCACTTTTTTCCTTCGTAGCGCTTGCTAACATCTTTTGCATTGGCTTCTTTTTACAAATTCCACTCATTCCGATTTGCTTCTCTTTTCCTATGAAGTTCAGCAAGAGACAGCACTAGTGGGATTCCGAGTAATGGTAGTAAATCGAGGAGGTACAGCGTAGGGTGAAAATCATTTCTGCACTTTCTTGGCATCTCTCATGACGAGAACATCACTCGAGCCGAATTCCAAGCATTTCATTATAAGTATGATTTTTTCCAGTGGGAAAGAGGACACGTAGTAGAAATAGACGTCGGTGAGACATCCCTTTGGTATGCCTTACAATATCGAAAGGAATGTTGGAATGTGCCTGTCATAAATAGATCTTATTACCGGCCACTTCTCAGGTTGTCGTTTTTATATCACGCGCGTCTGATGTGGCCACTTCCCAAAAACCAGGGAATTTAACAGATGAAAATACAGGACTACGATCAACTCCGATACATCACCTTCTCCGAAGAACTACGATCCGTTCTCAAAGCTTTAGAAAAAAGCGTCTAGTTAGAAACAATGTAGAGGGTGAAAGTCACAGGTCCTCTTAAGAGAAAAGTGATGATTGAATGTCCGATGAGCTACAAAAAAACCTCTAAAACAAATTCTTGACTATTTCTAAATCATTTCCCAACGTCTACAAGCTCTTATGGCTAATTCACTATGTAGTATGAAATATAAATTATATGTTGGGGTATAGGTATACCGGATCCCCTGCTGAAAAACCTGAACTGACTCAGTTTCTAGATTCGGTACGAATCAATAATAAAGGCACAGTTCACGTTAAAAATGGTTCCTGAGATTTCCCCACGGGATGAACTTGAGGACCCCGCGTATATCATATCTGGCACAGTTAGGGCGGAAAAGGCTTAGTCAGGAAGTTCTAAAGGCTCAAAGATTGGCGTGTGTGTATCTTCGGACGAGTTTCACCGGCATTATAGAGGCTGAGCTGCTCACAAGGGAGCCCATGTAAGACGTTCAAACAACTTGTTATGACCCATAGCGACGGTGAAAGGCAGTTCTGTACATTTTTGCCTTGATGGAGTCGGCTCTTTGCGAAAAAATGAGTGTGTCGCCCTATCCCAAATGGGAGACGTGGCTAGTTTTGATTCTGATGCATCTCCCCAATAATCTTCCATCTCATAGCTGCAATGAAGACCGCAGATGGTGATGAATTGATATATGACTATTGTGTTTAAGATTGAAACCGTTAATGCTAGACAGCGCATCAGTAACGGAATAAAAGGACAAAGAGTGATTTTTTTCTGGTGATCAATCCCGTTGGGGGTGCGTCTTCACAATTGACTCCCTTTCAGGGACGTAGTGGCGTAATGAATGCGTATGGGGCCTATACGATGAACTGTTGTGGCCAGCCGATGTACAAATGACTGCTTTTATCCTCCCAGATCAGACTAGATCAAATAATCGACCCTCGAGGAATGGATTGCTTGCTGGCTAGGACAGGTATTCCTCCGTGATTCAGTGACGATGGACTGTACGTAGAATAGTGCCCCACTGGCCACTAAATCAACTCCAGTTTTACATGATTTTTTAGTATGAATTAGCTAAAATCCACAGCAAATTCTAATTCTAAAAAGAAGGGAGGATAAGCGAGGTCTCGTAGTGTAAAGGATAAAGAGCACTGCCCGGAAAGCACAAGCACGGGTTCGAGTTCCGTGCGAGGCCGAAGTTTTGCCCACAAATTGCTAACCTTGTAGGAGCTAATTCTATTGGCTGCAAATGTAAATGACTTATGAAAAGAGATTTAAAATTACGCCATGCAAAACTGAACAGACGTACTGGACAATTGTAAAAAAAGGAGGGTATGTAAGAAGCAAGTATGAGAAGGGGAAGGTCAGAATAGGTCCAGAGCATAGAAATGTAGCATTAGAGGAGTCCCTGAAAGATAAAGGAAGCCACCTCTATCCTTCAAGGATATTCACAAATGTTTACACTCCGGATAAACATCGATTTTGTGCTATTTTCAGGAAATGAATGAATAAAAGAGTAGATGGAACCTGATGGGGAATATCTGAATGTATGTGTAAGGGAGATAGAAAAACAAATGCAGCTAGGCTCTAACAACCCCCCTTGTCGATTGTTAGAAATGCTGACAATCGACAAGGGATTGTTAGAGAGTGACTGTCCTGAGAGGTACTGAGTGGAACCGTGCCCGTCACCTCTAAAAAAGGAGCACGAGGTCAAACAATACGTAAAAGCTCCCTAATGGACCGAGTGGAAAAGCTCAGTAGCAAAGATAAGCAGTCAAATGTTGCTATAGGAGTCACGGACAGCTCATCGAAGAGGTATTTAGGAAAACGGTGAACGAAGTTGGTCAGACCGATGATTTCCCTTAGAACGGGATTGATTTACGGTATAAATAATTTTGCTTGTGAAAAAAGAAAACTTGAAACTAAAAAATACAGTTGTTTGGAGAGTAACAGATGTCGTAAAAAGTAGAGGGACGGATACAGTAATGAGTGAGAAATAGAGAAAGAGAGGCAGGTAGAGAACGGCAAACCCAGAGGCGTAGAGACTGCAAAAGACCCTGAAAAAAGAGAGAGGTGAAAGTAACAGAGAAAACCACGACTCTGTCAATTAACGACGAACGGTCGGTCAATTGCTGCAAAAAGTAAAAGGCAAAGTGAGCTATAGCTTCCCGAACAGGCAACAACGGCCTGGGAACATAGAACAAGAAAAAACTTTTGAACGCTACCACTTATGAAGAATAGCAGCGAGTCCCAGGACATAAAAGAGATAAAGATCCTCATAATTGAATGCGAAATGGTGGGCGTAATATTGCTGACCGGGTGGTCACCATGGTGAAAAAACAATCACGCCTGTTTTGGCCAACGAGGTGAAATGACCCCATCACCGGCCAGCGGCCGTGCGCACCTGTCATGGCGCCTCGGATTGACCAAATAAGGCATTATACCAACAGCCAGTCAATCTAGAAATTAAACAAATACGACAACGAGGAACTGCCTCTTGAGAAAGGATCGATTGTGGAGCTGGCAAGCTTTTCGGCTTAAAATAGCTCCACAGTTTCCTCTAATCATTTGTGCGTTTAAATGACAATTTTTACTTATCGATCCAAAATTATGCTAGTAATCAATGATGATTTTGAACACCTTGTCGATGTACTACTATGTATCCGATACACCCACCCTGTGACAGCCAGGGAACCGGGAAAGTTCTTAACGAAAACCAACCCTAGTAATTTCCTCCAACGACCGTACAAGAAACGATGACCTCGCTTTGACGCTGTGAGTGCTGCATAACTATGCGGCGAGTGTGAAAAATTATTTAACATTTGGCATTTAATAACTACATATATTTTCATATCCTCGATCGAGTATTATTACTGTTGTAACCCTATTAAACTCAATTAGGCTTTATTTTTTTTTTGCTGGATTGCAGTCTTGCTCGATTTAAGTGCGTTTTGCACATTCGCGTTATTGGAATTGTGCTCAAAAAGTTTACAAGTTAGCATCTCGCAAAATTTTCTATTTCCAGAACATGGTGGATGTGAAAGCTAAACCATTTTCGGATGAAAAGCGATGGGTTGTTATTTATCCGACGTACCTAGATTCTAAAAAATCACTTCAACAAGGTAGAAAAATTCCGAAAGGAATGGTAAGTTTTTTTTTAATCTTCTTGTTTTTGTTAAGAAAGTTCACTCAATCTGTATATATTATTTGTATAGTATAGGAGTTGTAGTGGGGCTATCTTATAAACTATAACTACTTACCACTTAGTAAGCTGCTTTTAAGTCTAACTTTGGTTGAATTTGTGTGTTTTCTGAGTTTAGTGGAGTCGCGCTTTCTCGCTACACTGATTACGTGCTAAATTACAAGTAGCTCCGGGATATTCTTTCTTCCGTATTGTTCTTTTTATTCATTCAAATTCCTGTCTGCATTGCGGCTATAAATTTATTTTACTAATAATAAGAATAGGTAACCTCATTCGGAATGTTTGGTTCCAGTGTTCTGCTAAGTTCTGTTTCATTTGTTCTCTTGCGTACTAGATATCGTACTTTCGAAAACCTTTCTTAATCCTTCATATATATTCAGGCTGTTGAGAATCCCACATCAGTTGAGATTTTTGACGTATTGACCGCGAGCGGCCTGAATCCTGTGCTTGAGGTATGTAGTCATATAAAGGAGTTCTGCATGACTATAATTGTAATTTTTAGTTTCTTGTTACAGAGAGGTAAACTGCATCCTCGGGAGCAAGATCGTGAGCCCGAGAAACTTGGCCGAGTGCGTGTGATGCTGAAGAACGATGATGGGACTGTGAAGAACAAGGATTATCCCACTAGTGAGCCACATCTTCTTTGTACAATTGTTCCTCTCCCTTTTATCTGTTAATGCTAATTTTGACAGGGATTCGGTTTTAAGCTATGTCGTTGTTGCGATCGAAATCAAAGCAGCCTTATTCCTGTAATTCCTGTCCTCTTCTCTCCTTCTATTGTATTGGGCTCCAAAACTCAACACTCGACAACATCTCAGATCTATAATTGAAAAACGCTCAACTAGAAGAAACGGGACATAAAATATAGTTAAAACACAATCTTGAACGAAGCTTGCATTCAAAATAATTAGAGTAAAATCTCCTGTGATCCTCCTTGTATGTTAACTGCTAGGTTTTATTCACTGAAGTAGTCAGATAAAATAGTAATATTTACTCGTACTAACATAGACAAAATTAGACACTTTCAAAATATGAACTGTCCTATCTTTTCGATATAAAATTAGCGGCTTCAGTTTTTAGAAGAAATTTCCTCATTCCATTTTTTTTAGTATTTGATGCTGCAAACTCTAGTTTAACTTTTTTGATGCTACTCCCCACGTACTTCATACTTTTAACTACTACTTACATCTTTGCATCGTGTCCCTTGGCGTATCAGACTCTCTGTGTTAGTCGATGACAGGGCATTTGCGAGACTTTGATGTATAGCGGCTCACTAATTACTTTATTCAGCCTTAACAAGTCATGGTCGTGGGATTATAATTGATATCTACCACGCTTCCATAGTAAAATCTTGTACACTTCTCATCTTTTATGAGGAAAATAATTTTAGGAGCCGCATTGTATAAATACGTAGCTTCTATGATACCTAAATTGAAAACACGACAACCTGGATATGTAGCAAGTAGCTCCTCTACGGGTCCTTCCACTACCAAGAAGAACAAGAAGAAGAAGTAAATCATGAAGGTAATTGACTTTGAATTATGTGATTGTGTTATAAAGAACACGATGCTGCAAGAGTCGCGTTTGATCCTTCCCTCTTGGAAATATCTCTTAATCAGGAAAGCGCAGTTGCTCATTCCTTCAGTCAGCTACTCATTACGATTATAAAGCGCGAAGCTGGTAGAAGGGTAATTCTTAGTATGCCGAACGAATTACCCTCAAACTTTCGTCGTATGATTATGTTTTCTGAGCCAAGAATTCTAAGGTTTGTCCAAATGTGTTTTCCCCAATTTCTTAACTTAGTATCTCTCAATGGAAAACAAGAAGGGCGCTGAAGTGAAGGGAGCTTCGCACGCACGGTTACTGGACTAGGCTCATTTAAGCGATGTCAATTGGTAGTCATATTTAGTCATCACTGGGGTGTAGTTCGAGGGGAGAAAATAGCTTTTCAGTACTAATGCGGCTCATTTCAAGTCTTTGTGTTCCAGTTGAAGTTTCTCCAGTTTTACTTTCATATCGCTTCATTCAAATTAATCTTGCTTACAATTAGTCCCTCTATACCATGCTTCCTTTTTATTTGAATCTGGGTGTGTTATCTAATCAGGAACACACCTCGGCATATATATATATATATAGTACATAGACGCAAGCTTGTAATTTTATTTGGTGGGGGCGAACGCGTGCCTTGAACTTATGTAGTGAATAGGACGACTGTCTATCATAGACACGATAATCTAGTGCTCAGCACGCTTGTGTGCCACCGCCTTCTCATCAAATTTTAACCAGGAACCGCTCATGAATGGTTGAGACGCTTTGCTAATTTGCTTGTAAACCATACAACTGGTTCCTGAGAATTCTTTCAGATTGGCTGTTACAGTGGTGATATGGCTCTTCTAGCATACAATTTACAATGATTTATTTTTCGATAGTGAACATTGTTTTATATATTTTCCTTGTTTCTAGCTTTCATTGATGTTGTTTGTTGCAATCGCACACTTTTTCTGTGATTCCAATCTTTTGTTGTTCTGGTGTTCATTTACATCACCTATATGATGAAGGGTTATTATGAGTTATTGCATTTTTGGCCATAAATATCTTCAACGAAGCAGCGAATATGAAGTGAAGCAGTAGAGTAGAACTAGTTGTGAGGGAGTCGACTGCTGACTCGCTCAGCGATAACATATTGCCTTATCAATATCGGTCAAACATAGCGTCTTGCCTACGTCCTTCGCTGTCACGTAGATTTGGTTATTTTATGGTGATTTGCTATGGAACGCTTCTCTGTCCTTGACAGCTGTCATACATAATTATTTTCCAAAGTACTTCTGTAAACAACTCATGCACTGAACTGTATTCACTCGCCATTTCCCTTTTGCATCATTCCTTTTTCTGTAGCAAACATTTGTTTTTCTTGATAGAGATTTCACTTTTTGGATTTACACCTTGACGTTTTGTTCTCTTTTTAGAGCCATGATTACACGTTCGGGTGTTCATTCGTTCCCGATCCATGGATTGTATCTGACCACAACGCTTGTTAAAAAAGGCTCTTAACCTTTTTTTTGAAACTTATCAGTTTTGAAACTAGCTTTTTCTGGTGAGAATTCACCTCACCAGTCGCACACTGTTCTGGCTTTTGGTGTTTAGAACTATGGGTCAGCCACTGACCTCAAATCTTCCTTCAGAGTTGATCAGCTTGAATCCGCTTTCCTGAAAAATCATTTCATGAAAATTCTTACAACTATGAATTTTGCTGGATCATCAAGATTGAGTGAATTCGCAGCTCCCTAGTGGTCAGAACCGACTAGCTGGAGCTATGATCTTTACTGTAAATTTGAAACCCTTGCTGGAAAATTCCTCAAAACTAGGTCTTAGTTATAAGTAAGCTCTTATCAGCTACAGACTTCTGATAACATGTGAAGAATTCCATGACGAGGTGATTTGCAAGGCAAACAGTTTTCCCAAAAACTGAATCCAAAGAAGAGTTATCAATACCACCAATCGGTACCATTTTTTTACAAGCCATCAAGGTGGCTCAGGATTGGTTAGAGCTTTTGGTACGAAAAGTCGTTACGCAATGGGATACGATTCCGCATTTGAATGAGAGGATTACTGTAGAAGGAAGTTTTTCATATCTCCAAGGTCGGCTCAGTGGTACAAGATTTGCCCGAGAGGATGAAGCCTCGGTTTGTACATCGGCCGCCCACTGCAAATTACTGTATAGGACACATTCGCATTCAATCTGTCTGTACGACTGAATGAAATCGAATGTGACGGCGTATCCCAGCGAACTTGGTTCATCAGCGTGAAAATGTAACAACTCACTTGAAGAATATGCAAAAAGGGACATCTGGAAAGTACCAGATTTTGGTTCCTGAAAAATTGGCCGATTCTTCGTGTGCTATTCTTTGTTCTACACTATCCATTCAGTTGCAGAGTTATCGCTATAAATAATATTCCTTACAAAGTTCTGCAACTAGGGCAGTTCGTCCAGAATGTACCATATGCCTCCTGATAGTATCTCATATAGTAAGTGGTCGTGTAAGTTTACGATGGGAAAACCCGTGGACCGTTTTCAATCCGGGGAACACAGCACGTTCCGGTTTCCATTCGGGTTTCCCGTATATTTGAATGCGAACTTGGCTTATGCAACACCTAGCAGCCACCTACTCATAGGATTAGCATAAAATAGTGACCTCTACATGGGGTTTAGTGCGATGTACACTTTACTGTTTTCACATTTACTCTATTCCTCTTTCGAACGGGTCTTCTATCCAGGGACAAGAGATTTATTGGAAACATTCAATGAACTGTGGATCTACTAGTTGAGATACTATTGCGGTGTGACGTTTCTTTGAATAACTGGTCAATTTAGTAACAAATACTGTTGTGTTTTCGGGGTGTGGTGCAGTAGGAACGAAATTGTCGCGTCGCGGCGAGAGAAACGCCGCGCGCGAAGGAATGCAGCAGAATGCAGCAGCAAGTAAGAAATACAGGAACAAAAGAATTAACAGTGGAATCATGACTAAAATAAGGGTAATATATCGATTGAGCTGTAGGAAGGACGCCAGAGCTGTAATAAC